CAAGATTAAACTGGAGAAGCATGACTTGACGAGGAGGCGGACGTGCACGTTAGGCTTGAACGGGCCGTGGGGCCTCGCGTCGTCCGTCTTTATCCGCGTCACGTTCGCGTTTCCGAAGGACTACCCCGCCCCCTCCCCTTCTTCCTCCTCGTCGCACGGACAAGGACAAGGGCAAGGGCAAGGGCAAGGGCAGGGGCAGGGAGCGAATCCGACGGTCGAGCTCGAGCCGACGCCGCTGATCCCGCTCCGCGCGCGCGCGCATATGCTGCGGCGGCTGCGGGCGATGCTCGAGACGCGCCGGCCCGTCCTCGAAGCGTGCCTCCGCTTCCTCCTCTTCGGCGACGAAGACCGGCCGTCGGTCGACGAGCTCGACTCGTCCTCCGACGAAGACTCGCGCGGCGTCGGTGCACGAGCGGGCGGGAGTAGGAGCCGGATACGGTCCAGAGGCCGCGATGCGGCCGTCGTGCTGCTGCATAATGTGAACAACAAGAATATTGCGGAGCCCAGGACGAGCCAGGGCGTGTTCGGTCCGGACGGGCGGCTCGTGATCTTTGGGAGGGTGCCGCCGCGCATCGTAAGGAATCCGCTTACCGAGCTGAGCGTGAGCCCGAGCGTGCCGTCGCACTCCGGTAGCAAAGGAGGAAGAGGAGGGGGAGGGGACAGTGTGCCGAGGTTCTTCAAGAGTCCCGCTGTGGTTAGCCATGCGGTGCACCAGCTCGCGATCGCCAGCCTCGATCAGGAGCTGGCGACGCAGTTCCAGTCGGGCGCGGCGGGAGATGATATCGGGGACATCATGACGAGCTTGATGGGCGCTGCTGGGGGTGGGCACAAGGCGCGGAGGGCGAGCGCGGGGACGAGCGAGGGCGGGGCGAGTGTTGGAGGGGGAGGGGGGAGTTATGCGTTGTTGCAGACGAGGCTTAGTACGGTTGCGGTGAGGGACGAGAGGGGGGTCGTGGCGCTTGGGAGGGACATGGCGCGGGAGCACGTCTTTGGGTATGCGGCTTCGTCAAACACGCAGACGATTACGGCGGCGGAGGCGTGCGCGAGGAACGTGCGGGTGTGCGTTAGGAACGAGGGGGTGGCGAGGAGGGCGGGGAGGGCGGACCATGTGCTGTTTTTCAGCACTGTACGGTTACTGTTCGAGCATGGCGTGAGGGAGGAGGGCGTGTGGGGCGCGAGTCCGCTGGTCAGGACGATGGTGCGGGAGGTGTATGATGAGCTGAAGGTCGAGAAGGACGTGCAGCTACTAGCGATATTCGCGGTATTGCTGTTGGGGGTGTATCGGGTTGCGAGTCCTCCGCGTACGTCCGGTCTCTCCACTCTTACGACCCGCCACACATACTGATGTTTGGCATAGCCCGCGCAAACACGGTCCACGTCCTCTCCCCCACAAGCGTCTCCACGACGCCCTCCGCGCGCACACCCGGCGGCCACGGCATGAGCGGCAGCGACTACTTCACGCACCGCCGCCGCCTCTCGCGCGCGACGTCCCTCTCCCTCTCCACCGCATCCCCCTCCGCGCTCCCCGGCTCGTTCGGCGCGACGTCCCTGAACTCCGCCAGCTCGCGCGGGAGCTGGAGCTCGCTTATAAACGCGGGGGCGGGCAGCATGCGGCAGCTGCTGTCGGGCGCGGAGAACGCGCTGGGTGCGGGCGAAGACGGTGTTCAAGCGTTGAGGGAGAAGGAGCGGGAGAGGGAGAGAGACGGGAGCATACCGATGCCCTCCGGCCGCCCCGTCCTCCCCGACACACCCCGCAAGAGCGTCCTCGGCGCCGGCACAGGCTCATACACCTCTCCCCGGCGCGCGGGTCTGGGCGCGGAGAGCCCGCGGCCGGCGAGCAGTCCTGCTCGAGGTGCGGGCGCGAGGGGGTGGGGGTCGCCCGCGAGTTCGGCGGCGGGGGCGGGGAATGGGAGGAGGCTGAGCGTGACGTTCGTGCAGAGCCGCCCGGGCCCGGTGCCGACGTTCTCGCAGGTGTTGGCGGCGAGACGGGGGCCGGGGGTGAGGGTTGGCGTTGTGGATTTGAGGGATGAGCTGCGCAGGGAAGAGTGCGTCCATATCCGCCTCGCTATCCGTACCGTGCGTGGCTGATTGACTCTGTTTGTCGTAGGGAGCGCGAGCTGGACGTGTTCACGCCTGAGTTCGTGCACCAGTTGTTGGCGCATATCGCTGCGTACGCCGAGGTGCTGTTCAGATGGGAGATGCCGGCCAAGCGGATTGAATTGCTTAAGGCGGTTGATGCGGGGTTGGTGGCGGGGCTTGATCCGCCGGTTGAGAGGGGGAGCAGTACGCTCGGTGCGTTCCCGTTTGACTATAGACGCATGTATGCGGGATGGATGCTGATTGTTGAAGTAGGTGTATCGTCGTTGTGCACGCACTGCGGGAGCGAATCGACAGTCGGGCAGGGTACGCACGCGTGCAAATGCGGCGCGAGAACGTCGAAGCCTCTATGTTCCATATGTCGATTACCCATCAAAGGTTCGCCTCTTCTCCCCTCCCTCCTCTCTCCTCATCATCACTGTTTATACTGACCGCTACACGAACAGGTCTATCATACGCCTGCCTCGGCTGTCAACACGTCAGCCATCTCTCATGCTGGCGCGCGAGCAATATCCCGGCATGTGCGGCCGGATGCGGATGTTTGTGTAAAGGACGCGGGGTTGGGCGCGGAGGTGGAGGTGGATTGGGAGGGGCGTTGGCTAGTAGTCCTCTGGGTCTTGATCTTCAGCCGCTTCCGGGTGTATGATAGGATGTGTATTTTCTGATGTAACGAATCTAAGTGTGTTAAAAGGGGCTTTGAGTTCTGGTTGGATCGCTTCCTTGCCCTCCCGCTGAGAACTAGTCTCGACGGACTTTACAGGTCTCTCACGTATAACTTAAGTACCGTCCAGAGGCGGATATTGGGATTCGGACCATGCGCCGTCTGCAGTCAGCGCGGACACGCGAATGTCAATCGCGTCGCGTCGCGGGCCAGGGTGAATGCGTCGCAGGGCGGTGCCTGAAGCCTGGGAGAGGCTTGCGTCTACTTATTCTATAGTATGCCTTACGATCAATCATCGGGCACAATATCCCGTTGTGAGCTCCGGACTATGTACTCCGCGCTATCTTCGCTCTATCTGAGAAAGCCACATGACCGTGTCTTATTCCCATGATAGCCCATGAAAACATGATGGTCTCCCAGGCGGCACTGGGACCTGTGTCTTCGACCGCAACCACGATTGCGACACTGCTCGTATCCTCATCGCCAATATGTCTAGCCGTTCTGAACGCACTGCACTCCACGTCAACCAGTTGCCCGTGGAGACCCTTGCCAAGATCCTATCTCATCTGCCCAATCCTGAACCTCCTCTTCATGAACTTAAGCGACTGGCGTTCTGTCTGGACGGGAAGCCCGCATCAGTGACTCAAGAAGAGAGGAATTACGAACGCTATGGGTGGCTTCCTGCGGCCTGGGTCTGTCATTTATGGCGTTCTGTCATCTTATCAGAAAGGCATCTCCGTCTCCCCTTCTTGGCTCACGATGGGCGGGCGCTTCCAGTCCTGGAGTCTACATCTCCGCTTCCGATCGAGTTGTACGTCAGTGAAGACGAATGGGTGTCAAACGAGAGCATAGCTTTGTAGGTGCAATCAATCTTCCGCTCGTGTGGACAGCGTGTGCGTTCGTTGCATGTCTGGACGAAGCACCGGCGACCCGAGTTATCTCAAGACGCGCCACAGACGGCGCCTCTACTTCCAAACTTCATCCGCCATATGCGCTCGTTCCATGTCTGGTTGAAGCACCGGCGCCCCAAGCTATCCCAAGATGCGCCACAGACGACGCCCCCACTTCCAAACTTCATCCGCGAGATGGATTCACCGCTACTCGAGGAATTTCATGCCGTGGGATCGTACGGAAACCTGGGCGGAAAGTGTCTACTTCCCCCTTATCGAGAACGATATCGTTCAATCTCGTTGCCGGTTCAATCATCCAAGAGCCTACGTGTGTTAGACCTGTCACGATGCACTATAGACAGTGCCGGCTCAGTCGCTACATGCGCTCCTGCATACGTGAAGCTTGTGAGCTGCCCAGGTATCTGGGATTGCCAGGACATTCGTCCAGATCAAGGCGTCGCAGCGGATCGTAACAATATCAACGTCCCGCAGAGCCGCCTGCCCTTCGCGTTCACCGCTCTCCGCGAACTACACCTGGACCAGGACTCCATGCCTTCTGCGCAGGCGCTTGCAGCTTTGGGCAGTATTATGCTGCCTGCACTAGAACAACTTCGCCTGTGTGGGCCCCTCGTTCAAGCGCTAGATACACTCAACGGGTTCAGATACCCGCCTACGGCCACCGTCGACCTGTCATGTGTCTGGAGCTACTGGCTGCGTCCTCCGGAGCAGGATGGATTTGAGATCGAGCCTTCATCGCCTCCTGCCTTCAACGGCTTAGCAGAGAAATACTTAGATGAGGATTCCTCTCTCCCTCGTGCGACATCGATGGTGGTTAGCATACAGGACACGGATGTGGACCTGGAATGCATCTCGGAGAGTGGACATGCTTTCCTTTCTGTCCATGTCCACGTCCCGACGCAGCGGAGACGCGACACCATCTTCGAGGCATTCCTCGCGAGCGCCTTCTCTGTATTCTCGGGTGTGCGGCAACTGATCGTATCCAGTCGCTTTGGATACGAAACCTCGCGTCGTTGCCGGTGGTATGGCGCCGCCCTACACAGGCTCGCAGACGTCACGAATCTCGTGCTCAGCTTCCAGGCTGCACGACATCTCCTCGAGTTTTGCGAAGCGAAGCGCCGCGAAAGTGTCCAGCATCATGCATTTCCATCACTTGAAGAGATGGTACTCAAGGCGACTGGTACCGGTGGTCCCTTTCGAGTCACACGTAGTGACGATATAGAAACGATCACTCGACTCCTTGAGGCAGAGCTTGCCGCTAGGTCCACCCCGTTCCAGATTACATGGGAAACTACCGACGCTGCCACCCGTGCACTCGACTACTGGCATGATCAGACTCCCGGCACATCGTCAAGATCGCGAAGACTCGCATGATCTGAATGAGATCTTGAAAATCGAGAGTGGTGCGAGTTAGCAGAGTGAGGGACGCATCCGGTGCTGAGGGCATGCTCGCATTACAGCTCGCATCTCTGACCTCATCACACGCACAAGCCAACATACAGCATCTTCTTCTCGTGAGGTATTTGGTACAGTGACGTTGCGTCGCGTTCGGACAGTGTGACTATGTAAATTATTGCATCCGTATCTTCGCAGAGCCCGGCGAATCGTACATATTTCTTTGACTATTTATGACCTGGGGCTGAAGCTTGTCGTCAAGACGTGAATGCACAGTACCACTTACTTAGCTTTCCGAGGAAGCCAGAGCATCTCTTTGACGTAGGGAAGCCTAAGTCAGTAAGAAAGGGTTGAGGAGGTGCTTGCCAGGCAAACTGGCCACAAGGTTCTCATTAGATCGCTAAGTTCGGCGCTCTCTTGCCGTAGCCGTAAATGCCCTTACAAACAGACCTTACAGGTCTTTCTCGTACGGCTTAAGCACGGCTTGGCGAAATATCTCGGCCAGTAATGACAGTACGTGTCAGCCTGCAACCAGTGCGGAGGAGGAGTCCAAATAGGCGAATCGCGTCGCGTCGCGGCGCGGCGAGAACGCCTCGCCATGGGGGTGCGAGTTCGATCCCGCCTCAGGCCTTTTGATGTGGGATTTCATCCCCATCCCAGTGCTTTCCTAGTACTTGGCAGCCGCTTCTACTGTACGCGAGCATATCGCACATGCACAGGAAAATACTGTCAATGATCAGAGCGTGATCATACAGAGCGACAAATTCGTCTTAGGATGCGGTACATACCGAGTCCAGTGGCTCCGGCATTCGCCCCGCTCTGCAACGCGCTTGCGCACTTTCACTACCACAGCCACCAATATCTCCGAAGAAGGAGAAATTAGTGCTCGAGGCACTCTACAGCCCGCTTCCTTACTCAAGCCGTTGAGCAAGCACTATGCGGCGAAGCCCGTCTGCAGAGTACCCGTAACACTACCGGTCTAAGCGGAGGAACTCAAGCGTGACCCGGCGCTACTCGCCAAGGAGCGTTTTGGACGTAACATGGATCTTCAGGCGGCGAAAGAGGGGAAGCACGCGATCTGTCTTCGTATAGCAGGGGTGCTTGTACGGGATGAGCGTAGCCAAATCGAGGTCGGCGAGTCGAAGTGGACAAGACTGTGCTCGACGTTCCGATTGGCTCCTGGTGCTCCTGGTCACAGGAAGAGCCTCTGCTTCGAGTACGTTCTTACTATATACGACCTGCAAGTCCTTCAAGTTGCTCATGAGCGTTAGCCATCCATAGACGGACAATCTGAGGTATTCCGACATCGACCGAATCCCGCACGCAAGCACTACGGCGAGCTCGAGGGCGCACCTGGCGAAGGCGTAGTCCATAGAACGCTCCGCGAGACAGACGGAAACACCCGGGAAGTCCCCGCCCCCACTCAGTTGACTTCAGCTCGCGCGAGGCGAGGTCCGCCGCTGGGCACGAACTTCGCAATCGCGTGCCCGTGCGGCATCGTCGGCGTAGACCCTCAAGGCCGCCACAGCTCATCAAACTGAGCCGCTGAGCACGTCTGGCTTCTGACGAGCTGGCGCGCGGTCCATCCAACTGGCGCAGTGCGGCACGGACATCTTACTGTACGTACATCCAAGTGGTGTCTATAGATTGGCTGGAGTAGGAGGGTTTGACGCGGGGGAGGGTTCAGGATGGGCTCTCATTTGAGGGAAGAGCGGACTGCTACCCCTCCAGCCTATTACACCAAGAGGGTGCAGGTCGCCGGTGCCTGGGGAATCGTTGAGATAGGCCTGCGTCCACCTCTTGTACAGTATGCCTTGTGATTAATCATCGGGGACAGAATCCCGCTGTGCGCTTCAGATTACTCCGCGCTACTTGAGTAAGCCACATGATCGTGTCTTGTTCCCATGATGGTCTCCCGCCAGGCGGCAGTGTTGAATCCTAGGACCCGTGTCTTCGTCTACAACCACGACCGCCACATTGCTCGTATCCTCGTCGTCGATATGTCTAGCCCTCCCGAACGCGCTGCACCCCACGTCAACCAGTTGCCCGTGGAGACCCTTGCCACAATACTATCTTATCTGCCCAATCCTAACCCTCCTCTCCACGAACACGACATGATACGGCGACGTCGGGAGTGGAAGTCCTCACTGGCGACTCAAGTGGAGAGTCGTTACGACCCCTATGGGTGGTTTCCTGCCGCCTGGGTCTGCCATTTATGGCGTTCTGTCATCTTATCAGAGAGGCACCTCCATGTCCCCGTCTTTGCTCACGATGAGCGGGCGCTTCCAGTCCTGGAATCTACTTCTCCGCTTCCGATCGAGTTGTACGTCAGCGAAGACGAATGGGCGTCAAACGAGAGCATAGCTTTGCAGGTGCAATCGATCTTCCGCTCGTGTGGACAGCGTGTGCGTTCGTTGCATGTCTGGACGAAGCACCGGCGACCTAAGCGTTCTCAAGACGAGTCGTCTACGCCACAGACGACGCCTCTACTTCCAAACGTCATCCGCGAGATGAATTTACCGCTACTCGAGGAATTCCACGCTTTGGGACGGTACAGACACCTGCGTGGAGGGTGTATCGAGCCTGGATATCGAGACCAATATCCTCGTTCGATCTCGTTCCCTGATCCACTATCCAAGAACCTGCGTGTCTTGGATCTATCGGGATGCACTATAGCCAGTGCCGGATCACTCGCAACATCCGCTCCTGCATACGTGAAGCTTGTGGGGTGCCCAGGCATCTGGGATTGCCACGACGTTCGTCCAGATCAAGGCGTCGTAGCGGATCGTGATGATATCAACGTCCCGCAGTACCGCCTGCCCTTCACATTCACCGCTCTCCGTCATCTACACCTGGAAGAGGACTCCATGCCTTCTGCGCAGGCGCTTGCCGCTTTAGGCAGTATTACGCTGCCTGCACTAGAACAACTCCGCCTGTGTGGGCCCCTCTCTCAAGCGCTAGATACACTCAACGGGTTTAGATACCCGCCTACGGCCTCTGTCAGCCTGTCATGTGTTTGGGACGACTGGACGTACTCTGCGGAGCAGGACGTACTCGACATCGAACCTTCATCGCTACCTGTCTTCAAAGGCTTGGCAGCGAAATACCTAGCTGAGGATACGTCGCTTCCTCGTGCGTCAACCATGGTGGTTGACATACAAGACACCGAAGTGGACTTCAAATGCATTTCTGAGAGCGGACATGCTTTCCTTTCCTTCCATATCTACGCTCTCACGCAGTGGGCCCGCGACATTGAATTCACCGGATTTGAGGAATTCCTCGGGAACGCCTTCTCTGTGTTCTCGGGCGTACGACAACTCGTCGTATCCAGTCACTTTGAACACGAGACCTATCGTCGCTACGGCGTGGCGGAGCCGGCGCGTCGGTGCCGGTGGTATGCCGCCGCTCGACAAAGGCTCGCAGACGTCACGGATCTCGAGCTCAGCTGGCAGGCTGCACGACATCTCCTCGAGTTTTGCGAGGAGAAGCGCGGTGAGGGTGTCCAGTGTCATGCATTTCCGGCACTTGAAGAGATGGTACTCAAGGCGATGGGCATCGGTCGCCCCTCTCGAGTCGCACGTAGTGACGATACAGAAACGATAAGTAGACTCCTTGAGGCAGAGCTTGCAGCTAGGCCAACCCCGTTCCAGATTAGGTGGGACACTGCCGGCGCCGCGATCAATACACCGAGCCACTAGCATGATAAGATATCCAACACATCATAAAGACTCACGCCCGGACCATGTCGTTATCCATTCCATGATCACTGAGTAGTTTATCCGACCCGTATCTCCTCGTCGCAGAACCCGGTCAATCGTGTATTTATATATATTCAGAGCTCGGTGCTGCCGCGCGTCTCGTTCCTGGCCATCAAAACCTGCATGTACAATAAAGATATTCAGTTGACCCCTAGAGGTTACGAAACCAATGTCACGACGTCAGAAACCGGGCTTGGACTGGGCGCTTGCGCCGCCAGCATGCTGCCAATCACTTACGCTCAGCACTTTGGATACTTCTCGCCATTTCCCACGGGACATGTTTGGTATGAAATGTTTGAATGGTATAGTAGGTATATGCAGAAATTGAAACAGTCCATCGTCACAACACGAAAGCAAGCCATCCACAATAGAACGCCAACAACCCCATTTGGAATCGAGCGATCGAACGCGAAACCAACGGTCCAGCTAGACACATCGTAGTGCATCTCACAGAACCGGTCGGTAGAGGTGACGCTCCTCGGGGCATGCACGGAGGAACTCGACGAAACGAGCGCGCGCTGTCTTCGGACGGCGCGTAACGTAGCGACGGTAGGTCGGCGAGAAGAGGTCGGGTGCGTCGCACGGACGCACGGCCGAAGTCTTCTGCGTGAGAGCCGGGCAGAGAGAGAGCTCCATTGAGCGGAACTCGAGCTTCTCGAGGAAACCGGAGGTCGTAGAGCGAGAGCGCTGCGACGAGCGAGGGCGCTTGGGCGTCAAGCGGCGCGTAGGCACGATATGAGCGGCCATGGAGAGCGTAGAAGACGAAGTCACGATGAGAGCGGTGCCGGCATCGGAAGTGACGATCTCGGCGGAAGTCGAAGTCGTGAGCGTGTACAGGCGCGCCGAGGCTGGCGTAGAGTGCTGGGTGGGGACGAAAGTGTCTGCGAAGTTCTTCGGGCCGTCATCGATAGAATCGAGAGCAGCAACCGGTGAATCACAGAACGTGAGCGAAGGAGTATCGGAGTCCTCGTCGGACTCGGCGAGAGACACGAATGCGAAGGGGGGTATCAAAGGAGACTTGTCAGTCTGCCCATCAACCGGAGTCCCCTGGTAGTGAGCGCGCATCGCGTCGTTCTCTCGTTGAAGCTCCTGGTTCGCCCCGTCCTGCGTCGCAATCTTCGCTTGGAAGCACTCGTGCACGGTCTCGTAGGAGTTCACCATGCTCTCGACACACGTCTGGTACTCGGCGTGGTCGGACTGGATCTGGATGATAGTGCCCTCCTTGGTGGCGACCTTGGCGCGAAGTCCTCGGACCTCAGACTTGAGATGAACGATCTCGCCCTTAAGGATGCCCTCGCGCTCACAGCCGGCCTGTACGTCCTCCTTGAGCGCTGAGATCGTAAGCTTCGCCTCGCGCTCACCCACCTCAGCCTTCTCGGCTCTCGAGGACAGGTCGGCGGCGCCAGCCGCGACAACGCGCAGCTGCTCCTTGGAGTTAGCGGCGCGTGTTGTCGCGTCACGTGCAGATTGTTGAGCGTCCTCCGCGACGGCCTTGAAGTGCTCGACCTCCGCGTCGGAAGCGCGTAGCTTGTCCTGGGTGTCGACGAGTTCGGCTTGTTGGAGTTCGTAGAGAGCTGCGTCGCCCGTGCGCTCGGCCTGTAAGATGAGGCGAATCAGTCTTATGCGTATGCAACGATGAACACGGGGAACGAACCTGATGAACGACCTCGCGCGCCTCTGCCTCTTCCGTCAGGTTGACAATCTTGTGCTGGAGAGTCCGGACCGTAGCATGAGAATGCTCGAGTTCGGCGCCTTGGCGCTCGAGCTGACTTCGTAGGTTTCTGGCCTCGTTCTCAGCCTGAACGCGGCCCGCATGCTCGGTCTGGGGAAGGGGGAATCAGCGTCTGTCCTAGACTTAATACATAGGGAGGTGTGGCATACATTGGCGGTGTGTTGGATCTGCACGATGAGCGTGCGTTTGTTGTGATTGACGGTGCGCAGGTTCGCGTTCTCCCGTTTGACGCTATCGCGCTCGAGTTTCACCTGGGCGAGTTCCTCGGCCTTGAGGGCAAGGGAGCGACGTAGGTTATACTCCATCGCGCCACGAGCGCGCTTGGTTGCGGCTTGCTGGACCTTGTACGCGGCCTATGTGTACTCGTGAGAGATTGCACGGTAAGCAAGAATGATTGAACGTACCCATGCACGAGTGGATTGTGCCCGGGCCGTGTAGAAGAGGACGACGGACACGACGATATAAAAAGAGATAATGAAAGACGAGTCAGAATCGCAGAACAACAACTCCACAAGGGATAGAGGCCGGATGCCGAAGTGACTGAGGCGCTGGAGGTCGTGGACCATAAGCTCGAGGCCGAAGAAGTAAAAGAGAGTGTTGCAAAGGATGGTGGTAGACATATTGTCGTGATGGAGTGCGTGGGCGAGAGTTGAGGGTCGAGCGGCGGATAGCGTAGTTCGATGGGGGATAGGACCAGCGCTCAGCGTAGCGATATACCTGCCCGGGCCATGTCTTGGACTGCAGTGAGCTCTCGCCCGGTCTCAGTCCAAAACAACAGTTCATACTGGGCTATCCATTGAATCTTCAAGAGCATAGTGTGAGACTATCTGCATACGGCCGTAGCGGGGTGTGGTATGGTGTCCGAGTGCTCAGTGCTGCAGGTGTCGCTCATGTAGTCATTACTCGTCTTGACTATGCCACCCCGAAGTTCATCGCGCCTGGCAGAAGTAGAGGTCCACTTATAGCGAGCGCTGCGGTGGTTTGCAAGTCCATATGCATACTGCAGATCAATAGTCGTGGTGGTGGTCGGGAGAACGAGCCTGAACGAGCGCGCCAAGCTCGTGAGCGCCTTCGGCGTTCCGGTCCGTGCGATCAGTCCGCCGGCCCGTAATTCAGCACAGTTCTGTATCCACTCCTTGGGTGACGAATACTCAGGCGCCTCTTGCTTCCTGCCTCCACGACGCTTCAATACCGTAACTTGCCCTCTCTCATCTCAACCTCAGACTCTTGAAGTATTATGGCTCAGGCGCCTCAGAACAGTAAGCTGACCGTGCTTACTCCCCGACGGCAGGCTCTGAAATACCTGCTTGTAGACGCGCCTAATGCAGGTTCGGCATCTATCGGGCCAGACACGACCTTCGTCAACCCTAGCGACAAGTTCTGGTCGCTCTATATCGAAGATGCGGAGAAATATGACAAGGTTCGACTCGAGAGATGGAAGGGGGACACCGATGGGATCTTGATATTCGTGCGCAATATACCGTTTTGCGCGGTACACTTGCTTATTGCTCTTCAGACCGGTCTATTCGCTGCCACGGTGGCGACCTTTGTTGTTAGCACCATCCCAAGTCTCTGTCCCGACTCTGGTGACCAGTCCGCGGTCCTCCTGGCCCAGGTGCTCTCCGTACTTGTGAATAATACGGATAATGGCACACTACCTGATGGTGCACCCCCGAGCTACAGTTTTGAAGCTTCTACGTCATCGGTTTGGATCAATTCGCTTTGGCTTGTCAGCCTGTTCCTATCGTTGGTCTGCGCTCTCGGCGCGACTCTAGCGCAACAGTGGGCCCGGATATACTTGCAACAAGTGCAGCGCCGTGGTAGCCCCAGTGTAAGGGGGCCACAGTACGCCGCGCTCACGCAAGAACTCGAGAACTTCCATATGGAAGATGTCATCACCTGGGTTATATCAATGCTTCATGTCGCTGTTTTGCTGTTCTTCGCCGGGTTGCCCATCCTGATATACCCTACTGATCGCCGTGTCGGTATCGTTTTAGCCGCGTTCGTTGCCGCTGGGATCCTTGTATACCTTTCTCTGAGCTTTTTGCCGATAGCGACGTATCGCTCGCCCTATAGCACTCCACTTACGAGCGCGATTAAACGTGCAGTAGGTGTATGCTCAATGTTATTCGCCAGCCGCACCACTCGGGACCGATGGCATTTACATGCGAGAACCGTTGCAGATAACATATACCAATGGAGCTCTGATGAATGGTACAGATATTATACCGGTGCATTGAAACAGCTTCATGCGTCAGTCGATCAACTGGACGAGGCCGAGGTTTTCTGCGACTCGTTGGCTGCGTTGCTCGAGTCATTCGAGAAAGGTTCACCCATCCTCAAGATGCAAAGAGTCAAAGGGCAACGGCGTTCGTTCCGCACACCGCAGCACATGTTACGCCTTTTCGCTGTGACTGAGCTTGATGTACTCAGTCTGCTTCAGAGACTGATGGGAGATGTACGAGCGAACGATCAATTGCCTGGGCTATCAATGTCACGCAGAATGGTGTCCATCACCTCTCTGATGCGGGCTCTTCTGAAGAACTGCTACCTGTTCTCTCATGTAAGCGAGGGTGACGAGACAATAGTGAGGGCAGTGCTTCTGAGTGGATGCCTGTCTTTGGCACCTATATATGAAAACTGGCAGGAAAACCGGTTTCAGTTCAAGGAACTGATAGAACAAAATAGGAGGGCGCGGGGGTTACGATATGTAACATCCGATCCTGCCGATCCTGACGATAACATCTGGGAACAACCCATCCTTCCTGCGCTCTCAAGAGAGGGGGCTGGAGGGTCAGAGCTACGCCAATACTTTGTTGCATCAATGCGAGCTACTTTCTTGGAAGTTTGCTTACGGCTCCATGTCCATGAGACTTCTACCCGATTTCTCAAATCGATCCACCGCGGACTGTCTCTTGAAGGTGGTTTCGCCAGACATCGTTATCGGGATTATTATGACCATGACAGCGAGCGGTGGGCATCTGTCATGCGCGATAAGAACCTCAGAGTGTCGGCCATTCGCAGAATTTTGTTCGATGATTTCATATACATGTACAGTCACACCCTCAGGCTTGCTTCGTTACCTAACGGCATTGCTATGTTGCACGAATACCAGAACATCTGGATTCCCCTCATGAAGGATCTGTATGAGCGAGTTAGACCACATTTATGGAACACGAAACCAGATGAAAGTAGTTTCGATGCTCTGCATTGGATAGGGTACAAGCTCCGTCTGACAGATGACAAGAATTGGCTGCAGTCTTCCACAGACGAAGTATACGTTCAGAGCCACGTCGATGGGCGTTACGCACCACTGTTCCGCGATCGTTCGATGTTCGCATACTGGTTTTCCTCCCTCTGCCGTTGGGCAACTGCGCCTGAGAAGCGACCTACGCACACGCATGGTCTGGATCCGAGAGTAGATATGCCCGGCGGCGAACAGCCGGTAAGTTCGTGAGTCTGATCCTATGAACATAATGTAACGTGCGTATGCGTAGATCGAGCAGCAACCTATCGAACAGGGAACCTCGAGCGAACAAGACAAGCAGCGGACATCAGTTAAAGAGGATCCCTTCATACTAGCCTCGTAACCAGTCCGCTATCTGAGCGTGAGGAGGCGAGCACCCCCTGTGCTGTCGCAGAGAAACCCCTCCCTCTCAAACTCTTGCGGCAGCGGTCTGGTAACGAGACTACCTTCATACTACCACAGAGGGGGAAATGAAGACCCATGCAGCCATGATAGGATCAGTGGTCGATAGTCCTTGCCAATGCCATGTATCTAGAACTTCCGCCTTTCATAGCAACGCCATCATGTGGAAGATCAGGTTACTATCCAACTCTAGCGGTGTTTCACGGTCGAGTACTTACCCCCCGGGGCAGCAATGTAAGGAGATATTCTTTTGCATGTCGCCGTGACGCCGTTCTAGGAGCGTCGATCCTCGCGAGCGGTCAAGTCAGAGAAGGAAACAACATTACCCGCTGTCCTCCAAAGCGCGGACATCTCGGTCAAGTGGTTTCAGTTAAGGTTGTTCCTACGTGTACCATCACCGCCGGCTGCGCCCAAACCGTAGTACTCAGAGCGATTGCCGTTGTCGCTGGCGAGCGACAAGTTGAAAATTGGGGTGGCGTTTGCAGGCGATGCGGAGGCAAAATGACGGATGTGGTCGAGGGCAACCTACGTTCGGGCCGAGACGCGGGCATCCACAAGACGCGCCCGCGAACATCAATGGGTGTACAGTCGCGATGTTACGATCTTGTCGGTCGATCTGAGCTAGTGTACATGTAAAGAAGTAGGCTATGCTGGCATGAGAAGCAGGCCAAGGAGCTATCAAATGGAGCGTCGGATGGCCTCGACTTTTGAGCAGGTTATGACGTAGACCCTGTGCCCGGAGAGGCCGGCGGCCATGGTTGTCCTTCCTCTTTTCATTTCCGACTACTACTACTACTCTTACTAACTACCACTACTACTACCACGAGCCCCGACGACGCCCACGACGACGATGAAGCGGCCCAATACGGCGCCGGCCGAGGAACCACGACCCTATCTGCTGTCGAGCGAGCGCGCGCTGTCTGATCCTGCGCTCTCTGCGCCCTCTGCCGCGCAGCTGCAAGGAAACCCCAAGGACGAGGCTCAGGCCGGCTATGACTGGGGAACATTCATCGCCGCGTACGCTCATGGCCACTGGGACCCCCATCGCACTCCTCGACCGCCCCGGCCGCCATCGCCGCCATCCGTGACGCTCTCGTCGTCGGCGCCTAATCCGGCTTCTACTTCCTCCTCATCACAATCTGCGTCCGCATCGAGCTCGACAGCTTCCAAACCTATCACGATCCCGATAAACACGGCACACGCCGCGGCAAAGAAGATGAAGATCGACCTGTCGCCGGCTTCGCTGACGCCGCTCCACCGGTCCCGTGCATCACTCGACGTGCCGCCCTCGCCCTACACTGGCGCTCTGTCGCCGTCCATTCATGAACCTCCGCCTTCCATTCCTCCTTTGACGCCGGGAGATGCCGCAGCTGCCGCGGCTACGATGCGGTGGGCCGCCGCTCGCGTGTCTGTGGCGCCTTTAGCGCTTCCTTCGCCCGAACGCGAGCTCACAGACCCCTTTGGCCATGCACAATCCGTCATCCAATCTCCCGGACTTAGCCGAAAGTCTCGGCTTGCGAATAGCTCGCTGTGGGGCGACGTGCTGCCTACGATCCAAGGATCCCCTTCGGCCGTGGAAGACACCACAGCTTCAGAGGGCGATTACTTCTCCGGCGTGCACTCGCAACCGCGCTCAGCAAGCAGCAGCCAAGGGCCGGTAACTGGTGCACCCGTCAGCACAGAAGATGACGTATACACCGCCCCGCTCGCTCGACGGCCCATAGTTCCGCGCCAATCCTCCGCACCGATTCCGCAATCGCAGCGTGCACCGCGACCTCCTAGAGCCGCTGCAGCCGAGCAGGCATACGCGAGGGCTCAAAGAGAGGCCGCACAGTTCGCGCATCTGGGGTACTTGGCTGCGCCTCATCCGCCCGACGAGGCTGCGCGCGCCAGGGCGTTGCGGCAGTTCAACCTGTGGCGCACAGCACCGGATGCAAATTTCGCCCGCATCGAACACCTGACGCGATTGGTGTTCAATACGAGGATCGTGTCTATATCGCTCATTGACGGCGCGGAGGAGTGGAGGAAGGCTGTGAGTGGGTGGAGTGGTGCTGGGAAGGGCAAAGGAGCTGCGAATGCGGGAGGAAGCGAGGTTGTGGGCGAAGGAGAGGACAGTACGGAGGGGAGGAGAGAGAGCAGTTTCGCGGCGCATGCGATATTGCAGAATGGAGACGAGCCGATGGTCGTGCTCGACGCTGCAGAGGACTGGCGATTTGCCAAGAACGTACGTGCTTTGCGCATCTAGTTCCAGACGTGTATTGAACATTGATTATAGCCTCTGGTTGCTGGTCCGCCCCATGTACGGTTCTACGCTGGTGCACCACTCCGAACAGCAGACGGATACAATGTTGGCGCCTTGTCCATCATCGATGACCAGCCGCGCGCGGAGTTTAGCCCAAGGCAAAGGCATACGCTCAAAGAGTTCGCGGTGCGCTTTCCCATAACCTCTATCAAGCAATTATGAAGTTGATTATCCTCTTCGACGCATTCATTGTAGGCGATCGCGATGCGCGAGATGGAGCTCTGGAGGGACAAGATCCAGCTGAGGATCCGGGACAGGATACAGAACTCGGTACGTTTCTCTCCTACTCCTACTCCTACCCCGCCCCCTTCCATCCCTGGTTCTGCTATCGTTCGACTGGATGTCAGCTGTGGTCGCCCTATGATCTTGGCGTCAACAACGCACTCGGAACCGGGCTTCCAGCCCCTTCGCTCCACCCCCGCGCTTCACACTTGGGCTCCACAACCACCTGTGCAATCAGGCTCTCTTCGTCGTGCGGTCTGGAACGGATCTGCTCCATTGTCCCATCGTTGTTGGGAGGCCTTCCATCTCCGCCCTGGGGTGCTGCTTACGGATTATACGTGTGGTCTGTACGTTCTGGGGCGACATTGGGCGCTGATATCCTCGTCACCCTGATCGACCTCGACATCCTACCAGCCAGCCTAACTGGACGATTTGGGCTACCTCGCAACGCCTCTCTTCAATCAGCAACAGAAGGTCCAGCGGACATCCGCGGCGTACACACCTTGCTGGCCCAAATCGGCATGCCCTCCACCTCCACCTCGACATGATCTATCAGACTCGAGACTCAGAGTTCTATACGCCCGCCCTGAACGTGGATCGACTCCAGAGGCACACCATCATTCCGCGCCCCACAAACCGTACCTGATTTCGATCACCCGTTATCGCCGCGGGCTTTGGCTTGTGCGCGTCATTTTAATCTTGACGCTCAGTCCTGCGCATTTGGGACGTCATTGGGAGGCCGGCTAGTGTTCTCAAGCGCTGGAGTACGGTCTGGAGTGTACTGGGCTTGGGTTCTGCGCGCGCTCTGGGAACTGGACCAGATACGGTTCAGAAGTCTACTTGCGCGATCATGTGACTTTACATGCGACGCGACTCGGGCTATCCCTCCCCCTCACTCGCCCCACACGAATCGCAATGATTGAGCTGAACGCTGATTCTTTTATCGTTTCGTTTTTAGATGGAGCAGTTTACGCGCGAATGCCTCGAGATCGACGTCGAAGACCAGGCAGCCTCACTCGCCTCGGACGCCGCGGCCGCCGCCCAAGCGCTCAAACGCGCCGCATCGGAATCCGGCGCAGACGTCGACGTGCGCGCGCAAGGTTCCCACGTCCAAGTCCTCGAGAGCGCGCCGTCGGTCGAAGCCGAAGAGCTCGTGGCGCAGAAGGAAGAGGAGCACGAGCAGGAGAGGCGCGAGGCGGAATCCCAGAGGGAGAGAGGCCCGACGCCGACGGAAAGGACGACGTCGAGCGAGTCGACGGCGTCGGGTAGTACGAGCATGTCGTCTGTGTCGTCGGCGAGCACTGCGGCGTCGTCGGCGCCGTCCGTGTCGACTGCGGGCGCGAGCGTCGTCACGCCTTTGGCACGCCCTGGCAGCGTTGTGAGGCCTACGGGCGGCGCGGTGACGCCGGGTGTCATCGCGAAGACGAACTCGGCTGCATCGGTGCCGTCTTCGAGCGTCGCGCCTACGCGCACGTCGTCTGCGACGTCTACGTCGCCGCCCAAACAGCGCGCGAGGAGACCGATGGAGCGCGTGTACTCCCGCGCGGCGCAGCTCGTCGCGCGCACGTTGGGCGTCGAGGGCGCGTTGATTCTGGATCTGAGCCATAGCGAGGTTATTGAGACGGCGCATGCGGAGGGCACGTTGAGTGTTGTTGTGCATCGGGCTGTGGGGCAGCATCGGAGAGAAGGGAGTGGGAGTGGGAGCGGGAGTGGGAGTGGACGGGAGGGACTCGGGTGGGGTGCGGGGCATAGGAGGGGCGGGAGCGCCGATTTGGGTAAAGGGAAGGGGAGGAGGGTCGAGGAGGAGGATACGGCTACGCATAGGTTGAGTGCGGTCGAGGCGGCGAAGCTGGTCGAGGTGTTTGAACGGTGCGTACTTTTCAATCATGGTGGTATGCTTCATGCTTATTCTGTTATGTGTAGGTACCCCGACGGCCGCGTGTGCGAGGGGCTCGTTCCGACTCCCCTGCGCCGGTTCGTGCCGAGCGGTATATCCTATGCGCTCGCGGTGCCCGTCTTCAACGTCGACCACCGGCCTTTCGCGATGATCTGCGCGTGGAACACTCTACGCGAGGATGATGAAGCGCATACGCGCGGCGCGCGAGAAGGAGAGAAGGATGCCGATGATTCTGCGGAGGACGATGGGTTGAATCTTGCGGCGGAGCTTGAGGAGCTGGACGGTACCATGGGGCGCGCGGGAGCGCGGAGGTATCTGGAGGGACACGAGCTGTCGTATCTGCGCGCTATCGGGGTCATCATCCTCAGTGCGGTGTTGAAGCGGAGGATGACGCTCGCGGATAAGGCGAAGAGCTTGTTCATCAGCAAGTGCGTTCACGTTTTATCGTGCTCGTTGCAGGCAGACTACTGACATATCGGGTAGTATCTCGCATGAACTTCGTACGCCGTTACACGGCATCCTCGCAGCGGCCGAGCTACTCGCGGACACACCACTCAACCACAGCCAGCTCTCCTTCCTGCAAACCGTACAAGCATGCGCAACATCGCTCGTCGAGACCGTCAACCACGTTCTGGACTTCACCAAGCTCAGCGGAAACTCCAAGGCGGGCGGCGTCGAGCACAGTATTGCCACCAGCCGCGCGGATATGATGCAGTTGGTGGAGGAGGCTGTCGAAGGGTGCTGGATCGGCCATCGTGCGCGGACGAGTGCGGCTAGTGCCAATGAGATTGGGAGCTTGTATAGTCCGCCGAGGACGGATGCGAGCGGGAAGAAGAAGCATGTTGAGGTTGTCGTGGAAGTGGGCGAGCGGCTTGAGGTGCGTGTATCATCAAGACTGGAAGGAGATGGCTTGCTGATGTTCATCACAGGGCTGGAATCTTAAGTTCGAGAAGGCTGGCATTCGGCGCGTGCTTATGAATATCTTCGGCAATAGTCTCAAGTTCACTTCGGATGGCTTCGTCCACGTCATCCTGCGCGAAGCCCCCGAACAACCGGACGAGCGCTCGCGACTCGAAGATGGTCGGATCGTGCCGTCGACGTACCCTTCTACGCCTACTCGGCGCACTGCGCCCGGTGGTGTGCAGCCCCGCGAGCACTTCCAGAGGCTCGACGGCGCCCAGACACCTTCGGAACGCAGGGAAGAGAGGCGACCGGGTACCATGCGTGTTGAGCTTTCCGTAGTTGATACTGGGAAGGGTATCAGCCAGGATTTCCTCAAGAACCAGTTGTTTCATCCGTTCTCGCAGGAGAACCCGCTGCAGACGGGGACTGGGCTTGGGTTGGCGATCGTCAGCAGTATCGTCCAGGTACGTCCCCTCGATGTCAGATGGTCGATGCGAGCAGTATCTGATGAGTGCCATAGAGCAAAGGCATCGAGGGCAAGGTCGACGTTTGGTCCGTCGAGAACGTCGGCACGGAGATCCGGGTTACGTTCACGGCCGAACTCGCAACACCCACGCCCTCGATCTCTGAGCGCCTCATCACCCCTTCCGCACCACCAGTACACGTCTCGCTCATCGGCTTCGACTCTCCACACCGCGGAATGCAGCTTCTGCGGCGCGTACTCGTACACCAGCTCGTCGACTGGTGGGGTCTCACGCTCGCGCCACCCGGGACCCGCGGAGATATTGTGATCGTGAATGAGGATCTGGCGCCTATCGTGGATGCTCTGCGCATGCACGATGCAACTCGGCCGTTCATCATCATGACGAGCGAGCGCGGAGACGACGCTCTGATGCGGACCGTCGCCGACTACGAGCGCTCGGGCGGCTTCTGCCGTGTGCTGTACAAGCCCGGCGGCCCGAGCCGGATGCGGCCTCTGGTCAAGCTTTGTCTTCATGCGTTGCAAATCGGCAAGAGCTCGCCCTCGGCCGTTGCTACAGCTAGCAGTCCGCCGCTCGAAGCCGCGGGCGCTGAGATTGGCAGTAATAGCAGCACGCCACAGCCACCTGCGAGCGTCGTGCGGAGGTATAGCGAGGACAAAGCGCCTGCCGGCTCAGCCCCCCGACGACCAAACATGGCCCCGCGCAGCATCACGGCACACCCTGTTGCAAGTTGGACATCATTGCAGAGCGCCGACGAGGACGAGGAAGAACCGGGTGCGGTCGACATGGCGCGTACGCGGAGCCTGAGCAGTGCAGGGCGGAAAGAGACTACCGTCTCGCTCGAGTCGGGCGGCACGCTCCTTCAGAGTGCCGTCGGTACCCTCACCAAAGGCAAACGCGTGCGGGTTCTCGTTGTCGAGGATAATACGATCCTCCGACAGTTGCTTGTGCGCTGGCTTCAGAGCAAGGGCTACGACTACGGCGAAGCTGTCGACGGTCGTGAAGGCGTGCGGCGCTTCGAGAGCGACGGGACTTTTGACGTCGTTCTTCTCGATATGAGCATGCCCGTTCTCGATGGTGTTGCTGCTGCTGCGGAGATCCGCGCGCTTGAGCGTTCACGCGGTACAGAGCCGCCGGCGCGGCTGCTCGCGCTGACGGGCATGAGCAGCCTCGAGGATAAGCGCCGCGCGTTTGAGGCGGGCGTTGATGGGTACCTCGTCAAGCCTATCGCGTTCAAGACGCTCACTGAGATGTTCCATCGGCTGGGTGTCTCATGACGCCAGGAGACCGTGCCGCCGGTCGTCCCTGTGGCATCTGCACTTTCACCTGTTGTGCATGCTTAGCACCGGCTTGCACGTCGCGATGATGGGTCGGGGTACATATACACTTCCCATCGCGTGCCATTCATCCAGACCTACTCTTTCGGGATCCCGCGCAAGCATCATATTCTCCAACATCCTTCCGCCAGTCACCCTACGCACCAGTTCTTCTTGCATGCTCTCTTGCTCACAATGCACCTCAGCCTTTACATACGTTACACGCCCTGACTCCGGCAATATTCCTTGCTTTCCCATCACGCACCTTCACGTATCGCTCTCATGCACACTCACTTGCTCAGACTCTGAACAGTTGCATATATCCCGCCGCATCATATATTTCGCTATGTTTATTCACCTCTCTGTATAACTTGGTCTCTTCAGTCTGTCCGTACAACCTGTAGCTCTTTAGTCACTTCACGGTTCCTTTGGCAATCTATAACATCATCTTGTAACATCCTGAGCTCTGACTACGTACTGCTCGCCTGTACTGCAGGTTGCCTCGTCCGATCTTGAATGATACTACCCGGCCCGAAGATCCGGGCAGCGGAAGATTTCGTGTGCGGTGAGTCTTCTTTCCGACGACCATGATCCTCCTAGGATCTTTGGCTTCATGTAGAAGCATAGCAGTCTTACTTTGCATTCCATATGCATTGAGTATGACTACAGTCAATTGCCCAGATCGACTGCAATACCCACAAGAACACATCCGGTCACCCGAAGTTGTGAGTAGGGAAGCAAAACCGGGGAATCGGGTAAGTTATAAAGAACGAAGGCCTACGTCTATATCTGAACACTCACAAGCTGTACGTGTCTGTCTGATTCTCCCTGATGCCAGGGCTAACTCTTGACGTATAGTGGCGCTTTGCATATCCATGGCCTATCGCTGCAACCGGCTTTGCCTGAACACCGGTCCAAACCCCTCATGTGCCGGAGACTGAGTCGAACGCTGACAGGAGAGACCTGATCTCCTCGAGCTGCATATACGCGCCAATATGTCAGGGACACTAGTATATGCGTGCCTTCGGGTACCCAACGTCCCGGCGGGATACTGTGCCATTATCGCCGCATTTTCTCACCGCATCTCCCTCGCGCGGCAGGAGGCGACCAATCCGCTCCGCTGGAAACGCTCCGCTTTCCTGCGTTCAGACCAAGATACGCTTTCAACTACGACGTCCTGCTCTGTCGCTCTGGATAAGCTATGAACGTCGCACCGTCGTGGATGATGTACCTGCTGCCAGTTCGTTTGTGTCAATCAATACTTCCCACTGATGCGCCGCAGGGAAGATCTCCGTTCGCAGAACAAACCAGTGGGCGCCTTCCTAGGCCTCATTCTCTCACTAAGGCACCCATGTCCACCTTTTCCCATCCGCATCTCGCTTCATGGTCCGAATCACACTTTGCGCGTACTACCATAGGGCAATTCACTCTAGTTCCTCGAGCGGACGTTCGAAACCGTTCAGAGCATCCGAAAGACCATCAAGCGCATCATCTCCCTAACGCGCCAGCTGTCTACCTTGTTCTCCGACTAAATCCTGCTTCCCACTGTCAACGTATTCGATGCCATTCTATCGCATCAAATCGCATCAAACGGCATATTCGGTTGACTGATTTCAGGGCGAATCCTCGCGTTTGTGCGACTGCATTTCCGTACTCGCATGAGCGTGCGACTCTGCTGCAAGCCCACGGCTCTGTACCATACGAGTGCCCTCTGGATAGCTCTCACTAGCTTGCTCCGACCGTAGCCATGGACATGTCAAAGGCTCAAACAGGAAAGAACACATAGTGGTACTCGCACAGTGGAGGGAAACCCGTTAAAGCTGATTGGCTTGCCAGCTCCAGACGTATGGCTTGGCACTTCTACTTCAAGATGTGTACTCTCTTTGCTCAAGGACATCCTGCTCACAGAGCACAAATGCACCGGCAATTGTGACGGCTGTCTCTGTATAAATGCTGTCAGTGGCAAGCTGAACAACGTCAGGCTTCAGCGGTCTTTCGTCGCCTACCTCTCCTCGGTCTTACACCTCGGTCCTCCGCATCTAACCATGTCCTTCTCCAAGCTCGCTGCTCTTGCTGCTCTCGCTACTGTCGCGAGTGGTAAGTACAACCTCGTCATCAGCCGTTCCGCAGGGCTCATATTCTCCGCAGCGGCCGTCACGAAGCGTGTGACTTGCGCCGACGGTAACGTCACCGCGCATGCGGCGTGTTGCGTTCTCTTCCCCATCCTCGACGACATCCAGACGAACCTCTTCGATGGCGGCGAGTGCGGTGAGGAAGTGCATGAGTCTCTCCGTCTCACCTTCCACGATGCGATCGGCTTCTCGCAGCACAACCCGGCCGTCGGGTAAGTCACCTTCATCCCGTGCTTTATATCAACTTCAACTAACTATCATCCTAGTGGTGGTGCAGACGGTTCCATGATCATCTTCGCGTCGACTGAAACGGCATTCCACGCAAACGGCGGTATCGACGACATTGTCGACGCCCAGACACCCTTTGTCCAGGCGCACCCGCAGATCTCCGTCGGCGACTTTATTCAGTTCGCCGGCGCAGTCGGCGTTTCGAACTGCCCTGGCGCTCCTCGTCTTCAGTTCCTCCTCGGTCGCAAGAACGCTACTCGCCCTGCTCAGGACTTGACCGTGCCCGAGCCGTTCGACAGCGTCACGAGCATCCTCAACCGCTTCGATGACGCGGGCTTCACTCCGGCTGAGGTCGTCGCTCTTCTTGCCTCCCACACTGTTGCTGCCGCCGATCTCGGTTAGTCTCTACGTCCTCTGTATACTTTCACCTCGCTCACATCTTCGTAGTGGACCCCACCATTCCGGGTTAGTCGGCTATATAGCCTTGATTGCGATGTAGCGACTTCACGCGTCTATAGGAACTCCTTTCGATTCGACCCCCTTCACTTTCGACACGCAGTTCTTCGTCGAGACCCAGCTTCGCGGCACGCTGTTCCCCGGTAACGGATCAAACCAGGGCGAGGTCCAGTCGCCCCTCCACGGCGAGATACGCCTCCAGTCCGACAGTGAACTTGCGCGCGACTCCCGCACTGCCTGCCTCTGGCAAGCGAACGTGAACAACCAGCAGCACATGATGACCTCCTTTGCTGCTGCCATGGCCAAGCTCGCCGTCCTCGGACAGAACACTGTATGCTTTTCCAACGCCCAGTATTATGTGCAACATCGCTGACCGTCGGGCTTCGCAGCGTGACATGGTTGACTGCTCCGACGTTATCCCGGTCCCGAAGACGATCACCAAGGCCGCGACGTTCCCCGCTGGTCTCTCCAACCGCAACGTCGAGCAGGCCTGCCGCGCGACGCCCTTCCCGACGCTCAGGACCGACCCCGGCCCCGTCACCTCGGTTGCTCCCGTGTAAGTCTCGATCTCTTCGCACAAGTCTCAGCTCACTGATGACGATGCTTCAGTCCTCCGTCCTAAGCAATGGGCCGAATCTAGATCGCTATTACTCAGTGGAGCGTACCTACTATCTCTTTTCTTCTTTTGGGTTTATGTGTGTTCACGGTCGTCTGGCAATGCATGTGCTGTATCATGATATCATGGGGAACGAGGTCTATAAAGTTGATTCTGCCAATCATCCTATCCGTTTGAATACTAAGTTGAGGCGCCTCGAACGCCTGCTTGACATGTCTCTTGCTTCAACTCATTGAAGCTTTCTCCCAGCTCAATGGAAGGTCGGCTCGAGGCAACGCTGACAGAACCTCCGAGTCTACGTCACTACAGCTCTACTACAGCTCTACTGCCCGGTAGTGAACGCTGAACTTTGCTTCGACTTGTCTCAATAAGAAGCAACTTATACTAATCTACTACTTGCTGTACACGATTGACGGGGCTATCGACGTAATTGTACTGTACTCGGCTTTCGCTCGGTCTCTGTGTATCACCGCAATCTATTGTACGGCAGCGCTTGTACGACCTCTTTGACCTCTTTGCCCGGAAAGATGTTGTACGTTACCAACGCACCCGGGAATGCCGGTCCGTGCCAGTGAAGCCATGGCGGCGGGCGACAACCATGACCTCTACTTATCCACATCCAATTGATATGGCCCGCATAGCGATGTGCGGTAGATCACCGCAGCTTATGAGCTGCTCCATGCAGCCATGAGCGCGCATCATAGCTGTGAACCCTCGTACTTCGGGTTCACAAGCGCACCAGCGAACAGGGCGCACGCATCATGCCAAGCAATGCGCTAGCTAGAAAGTCACATGTGCGCGTATGCTCGCGTCAACCTGTGAATCTGTCCCAAACAACGACCACTCAGATCTAGGAGGCAAACTAGGTCCAACTTCACTACCTTGTGTTTGGAAGTGAGATGGACGGGATGTACTTTGGCTTCTGGATCGAATATACTCGGGATTAAGAACAAGGAGCCCTACGCGCTCGATCCGAGGCACTATGATTGGCGCCCAAGCCAGCTGCCACGATGAGGCCCACGGAGGCTATAGACGGAGAATCTACGAATTCCACCTCGTGTCTTGCGGCTTTGACTTTCTCCTGTCCACCACGCTGGGTGCCACATAGTACGCATGTCCCGCTACTACTACCTTGTAAGCTTCTGACACTATCCGCAGGAAGCGCGATGAACGACACCGTCAGCGCCGCGCACGAGCATAACACGCTAGCGCCCATCCATCTCAGACTCGCAAACGAGCACCTCCATGATATCTTCCTTGCGCTATCGCTCATCGATACCCCTTCGCTTAATCGCCCTCAGGGATGGTTCCTCTCAGTCAACGGTGTTTGCACACTCTGGCGCGAGATCGCTCTCCATTCCGCTGAGCTCTGGGCGCGTAGCGCCGGTTCGTTCCCGTCCCGGCGCATGACCGATCTTGCTATCGCGCGCGCCGGCACATCTCTCCTGAGCTTCACCGGGCATTACGAGGATCATGAAGGTTCAGGCTACGTGCTTACCGATTACCAATTGTCACTAGTTGAGACGCACGCGAAGCGTCTGCAATCATTTGTCCATGATGATTATAATGATTGGTCGGGGATGTTCTATCGAGTGCGAAGTTTTCCTGAGCTGGTGACGGCGAGGATATGGGATGACTCTGGTCCTGACATGTGGAACGAGCCCATAGACGCGCCGAAACTGGAATGCCTATATCTGAACAACGCGCTGGTACCGTTCCGTGCGCCCGCACTTCGTTCCATGCGCGTGGACATGGACAATACCGATTGGCGGCGAAGACCAAACATACCGCAATCGTCGGAAGGTGCCATGCCAGACACTTGCGCAGCAGTTCCGAGGGTCTTTCCCACTCGCGATTTCATTGAGCTTCTTCAGTACTGCCCTGACCTCGAGCGGCTTATTGTCACCGATATGCCTCTTCTGATGTCCGAAGGACTGCCTACAGTGTCTGCGCTGAACGCTAAGCTTCCTAAGCTTCGCGGCCTGCATTTGGGAGGGAAGTCAGAAGCATTGGGCGACTTCTGGCAGAGACTAGATATGCCCTCTCATGCACAGGTCTTCGTCGATACCGAGTTCTTCAGCACGTATCTGGGAGACCGAACCGCATTCGAACGAGACATGCTAGCCAAGATCGCGGATCACTTGAATTCGCCCGCGTACGACAGTTTCAAGCTTGGAATGACGTTATCCTACGATCTCATGTTGCAACTATGGTCCTCGGAAACTCGTGGGGCGGTCGGGCTGGACATGGATACTTCTCTTGAGCTGGGCCCAGAATCGGCGACGGGTGCCGCTTTCACGATAAGAGTGCCAGTCGGTTCACGACATTATCTTGAAGATTTTGTTATGGATGAGCCTGAAATGTCTTCCTATATCATGTGGAGTGCGCTGGGTGTGAAGATGAAGGATCCGTTCTTGAAATACCAGAACGAGCTGGCCAGGGAGTTTCACTATCGCGCCAGCACGCTGATTCGGGAGTTCGCATCATCTACTCTCAAGTGCTTTGACTTGGTGGACCTTCCCTATGTCGAACCCGAGAGTATGTGGGGTGGCATCAATGATCCAGATAGGTATCTCAACCGCCTATCCTCGCGACATGTGCCAGGGATAGTGACTCCCGTGCTGTCCCGGAATGTGACTATCAGTTGGTCCTTTATATACCGCACGCTTGGAGACCAGACACATTCCATCGACGCTCGTCTCAAGAGGATGCAGCATAGATTCTCTGAGTACGAAAAGATCACGATCGTCAATTTCCCTTGTGCCCATTTCGCAAGCTCAAAGCGACACAACCAGAAGCTTAATGCGAAAGCTTGGGATCTTTTACTACGCTATTTTGAGTCAAATAGACTCAAGCACTCGCTGATTCTATCCGAATCATCATCCGATATGTCGAATATGGAGCGATCCGAGGATCCCGTTCGCGGATGCACGGACCAGGAGTCCTACGCGGATGCAATCAGAGCCGTTACCGGGGAAGGTTATCGGCGGATCGCCCCTTTCATTACAGGATTTGAGGACATTCGAATGCATAATCTGCGCTCTTGAGATAGCATGTTTGCTCTGTAGCACAAGCACCGGCAATGTGCAGTACTCCTGATGCGTCTTGTGATAACGTTCTCAACAGGCAATGCGGGACCGAATGAAGATGAGATTCTGCGTGAGTGATGTTGGTCGATCGTGACCTTCAACGCGGTTCCTCTCACCTACACCTATCTTCTCAAGCGGGCGACATCGCAACTCGCCTCCTTCAAGTAGTATAAGGCTCAGATTCACGTGAAATTGAAAGTCACATGTGCGCGTTCTCGATGATTGATCCGAGTCGGCATTGTCCGCATGTTCAGGTAGCAGCGAACCGGATGGCATCTTCTTCCTCTAACCATATCCTCAAGAGTGTATTCCTACGCACAATTATAGATCTGAGCCATAGATGAGAACTGTCCACAGGCACCGTCAGGCGGCAGGTTTAGCGTTCGTAGAGGCTCGTGTCGACATATTCGCGCACGGACGACGTCAAGCCGCGAGACTTGCCTCGTACGTCCATCTACGACAGTATCCCTCGTCTTCTTGCCGCACTGCGTAGCCGAAATGCCAGACCAAAATGTTGAGGTCTGGCTAGACTAGGCTTGCCCGACTGCGTTTTCTTCAACGCGCCAAGAAGCATGATTGGCGCTGGCGCGCTCCGACGTCATCCCGGTCCCGAAGACGATCACCAAGGCCGCGACATTCCCCGCTGGTCTCTCCAACCGCGACGTCGGGTAGGCCTGCCGCGCGATTCCCTTCTCGGCGCTCACGACCGATCCTGGCCCCGTTACCTGGGTGGCTTTCACGTAGGTCTTATTCTTTTCGCACTGATCATGCTTATTCAACTGATGACGGTTATCCAGTTCTCCGTAAGCGGTGGGCCCATGCTAGATCGCTCTGACTCCCTGAAGCGTACCTACTGTTTCCTTTCTTCCTTTGGGTTTATGATTGCTCACGATCGTCCGGCAACGCATGTGCTGTATCATGATATCATGGGGAATGATGTTCATAAAGTTGATTCTGCCAATCATACTCTATTTATGCGAATGCTGAGTTGAAGCTCTCCGGGCGCATGCTTGACATGTCGCTCGCTTCACATCGGAGCTTTCTCCCAGTTCAGTGGAAGGTTGGCTCGAGGTGTCGCTGACAGAACCTCCGAGTCTACGTCACCACAGTTCTACTGCGTGGTATTGAACCCTGCCCTGCCTTTCAGGCGACTAACTATCCAACTCCCAGTAGACTAAGGGTGGCAGATGTTCAAGAAGCTCATGAGAAGACCAAGGCCCTGAGAAGGCCTTGCTAGGTCGTAGATGAAGAGGAAAGCGATATGCACATTTTATGGCCGAGATTCAGACACCCAGACACGGTACACCAAGACCCCCAAACCAAAGAAGAAGACATAGTATGTTACAGTCATCAGAGACACTCATTATCACTTTACATCCCTCTGCGCAATGCATGAGTGCTCGTATCATATGCAAGAGAAGGAAGAATACATACCAAGTCAAACTCGTACGAACCAGGCTCGCCTCAGTCCCTCCCACTCAAGCACAGACTAACCGATGAGAGGGACATGGGAGCGCCCGCGCGACCGCATCGCTCGTGGTCGCTGGCACAGGTATGCCGAAATCGTTGGTGGTCGAGGCATCGGCAATCGCAGCAGCGATGGTGGTTGCGGGTACGACGGCGCCGGTAGTGATCCTCGATACGGGCACGACGGCAGCGGTGGTGATGATTGGTGAGGGCACAACAGCGGCAGTGGTGATCCTCGGTATGACTGCGCCGTCGACGGTGGTCAACGCCCCGAGAGGTTCAGGTAGAGGAGCCTCGGGGTTGAGCGTAGGAAACGATGCATGTGGCTGGGGTCCGGCTCGCAGATTCAATGCATCGCGCTCGGAGTGTGTACCGGATCCACCGTCGATGGTTGGCGTAGGGATGGCCGCGGCGTGCACGTTCTTTGCGACGAAGAGGAGCACGAAAGCAAAGAAGATCGTGGTCAGGAAGTTGGCGCGCTGCATCTTGTGTTTGGTGGTAGACGGAGAAGGTTCGAAGTAGTGCTCGAGTTCGAGGTAGAGAGATCGAGATCTGGTTGTTGTATCTTCAAGCAGCGCTCACAGATCCTTATATACTCTGTCAGTCCATTCATAGCCCTCGTAGTTCTTGTCGAACGAGCTCGTACGCCGGAGGCCGACTCCACACTCTGTCAAACCGTCGGCCAGCGGTGTCGGAGCGCCCATCTACTAGGAAAAGGATCGCGCGCCGTATCACCTTCAAACTAGCTTGGAAGCCACTCGGACAGCATCGCCTCCCTCTATCCTGTAGCCGGATCTCCGCATCATTACCGTTTGTGAGCGCGGCCAAGCTCAGGCGCCCGGCAGCTGACAATGAATCAGTTCACCCGCCATGGTGGTGTGAAGCAGAGAGAGCCTCGGAGCGACAGAACGTGGCAGACGTACTGTGTTCCGGCGCCACCATGGGCAAGTTCGCAAAGGCTACTGGCCAGCTGAATATGAAGGCACCACTTCGTCCAGTGCCGGTATGTCCGTGGCAGTACTGAGTACGAGGCACTTGAGCGGGTCTAGATCTCGCTTTGCCGATGATTTCGGGGGAACTGGCGCTGCCCGCGGACATAAGCGCATATCAGTTCCACATGCTCTGTGACACAGTGATAAAGACGCACACTGCCACAGTTTGTCGATCCTTTAGGGCTGCATGCCTATACCCAGATGTGGTACATGGCGGCGCTTTGTGCTTTTGCTCCAGTCCTGCCTCGAGAGTGAGACTCGGAGTACCTTCAAGAGTGAAAGTGCGGATGGACGTCAAGCTTCGTGCGATGGCAAATCTAGTACTGTAGAGGTCCTGCCAATGCATCCGAGGAGCGCAGTGAGAAGCGCCGATAGGATGGTGCATATAGCCTGCTTCGTAAACCGAGATGAAGCCGAGGAAGGCAGAAAGCAAAGTGTCACCGGTGACGGGTGGACGGTATCACCGCGGCACTTCAATGAGATCGCTTACTTACCAGTATCCGTAGCCTGCGGGGACAAAGAGGTAATATAGCCAGACCGGGCCTGGTGATAGGGTATGTCGGGGCCACACGATCTTCATTGCATCCCCTGTACTCGTGGCGCGTGGACTTCAGCCCGTGCACGTTATCAGGAGCCGGTGAGTCGTACGCGCAGACAACAAGGCGATCTACCCGGTCTGGGTCTGATCCTGATGCGGGGTACGTCGGGGCCACACGGTGCTCATTTGATACTCTCCTCTAGAGTACTCGGCGCCTGTGTGCTTCAGTAATCGCTTACTTTCTAGTCTCCGTAGCATGCGTGGACAAAGAGGCAATCTGCCCAGATTGGGCATGATCGTGTCGTTTGATGCACCATACTCGTACATTCCATCCATTTGCTATTCGTACAACATTGAGAGTGTGTTCCGTTCATGATTACAACTTGATCTTGACCCATATTACGCCTTGAGACCCGCCTTCTCGCTCGAGATATCGATATCAAGCAGGTTCTATCATCCAGTTCAGCACCGGCGTACCAAAGCAGTGGCGGGTCACGTACCTTTCCACCCTTAACCTCCTCAGCCGACGGCATAAGCCCCAGGCGCAGAAGCTCCGACGCTTTCATTACCACCGGGTCGTTTTGCATACTATAATACAAAGCATCATAAGTCAGCTTACTGAGCAGTTCGAAAGGAGGGAGGGAGGTAGAAGACGGACCTTGCGACGGCGACGATCTCAGACCCCTTGGTGTAGTACGCGATGAACTTCAGCTCGTCGGGGTTCCCCTTGATAATCACGTCGTCGAACCCGTTCTCGACACCGACGTAGCGTAGCTGTTGACCCTCTGTACAATAATCATCAGGACTTCAACATAACTCAGATCCAGACACAAGCCAACGTACGAGCGCTCCAAAAGATAGGAACCTTCACGAACGGCTGCAAGTCCTTCTTCCCCTGCGCAATCGACGCAACGGTCTTTCCGACCGCGCGCCCATGATTCTGCGCAACATTCCAATGTTCGACTCTCCTCGATCCCGGGCGTATAGTCTGCTTATACGTCGCGATATCGCCGATCGCGTAGACGTTATCGTTCTCCTTGCCCACGACCCGCAGGTACTCGTCCACCTTCAGACTCCCATCCTTCTCGAACTCGAACCCGGCGGACTTGAGGAACTCAGTCTGCGGCTTGACGCCGACGCCCATGACGATGGCGTCGGCTTGAAGAACAGTGCCGTCTTTGAGTTCGACTTCCGATTGAGCGCCTTCTTTGTGGCGGATGGCTGTTACTGAGGTCGACGGGTGGAACTTGATGCCTTTTGACTCGTGGAACTACACTATGGATTGAGCGGGCGCAGACTAGCGGGTGGAAGAGGAAGTGTGTATACCTTCTTCAGGCTCGCGCCGATCTGCTTGCCCAGGACGGCTTCGAAGGGGAATTCTTCCATGCCGATGACGTCGATGCTCGCGAGCTTACGGCTCGAGACGGCCGCGACGAGTTCCATGCTGATGAAC